AATAGGAGTAGGTATCACATGATTGGCAACATAATCTCTTCATTCTATATGTCAGTGAAAAAGATGATGACTTTGACCTGATCTAGACTTAACTGATACCATCACTTAATGATATTGTCTTCTTGAATCTTTGAAAATTTCATAAATTTCTAAATACAATAAATCTTACAATAATCTCTCCTAAAGTCAAAAAAGAATTTTCAAATTGTAAAACAATTAGTGATATATACAATTTAAAACTTTCAAATGTTATATAAATCACAAGCAGCATTAATGAGAGTCTAGTATCTGTGCGTACTAAATAATGTCGGGAGTGCAACATTCGATGTTTTCCTCCCCAGCATGAAAAACACTTTTATCAGTATATGATTCTCTGGATTTTTATTTTGGAAAATAAAGACACAAAGAACATTTATACCAAATAGATTTATCAATTACACACATATTTTTAAATACAATGTATATATATTACACATTCAGATTGCCTTAAATGATCACATTCAGATTGCCGTAAATGATCAAAAATATCAAAACAACGAATGGGTTATTGTATGTTATAATTATAAGAAAAAAGTTAAATAAGATACCTATATATCGGGTGTCAGGAGTGCAACACAATAATGTAGCATAGGGTCACTTCAAAATCTAGTATTTTTGTAAGAAAACTTGTATATCAAAATTCTCTTCAGCTTAGATTTCAAGAATAGACTTAAATGGACAAAAAAGTGATTTGGAGGGAAATCTATTGTCTCATATCTCTTTCATATTAAAACTTTTCAAACCAAAATTGAAAAATGTAAAATAACAATCAAAAAACCAATTTTTTCCCACATACACAAGAGAAGAAACTCAGTCAAGATTTAGATCTTATCATTTATATGCTTGATACCATTTTGAAGCATAAAAAACTATAATTTCTTTTGATTATGTATTTTAGAAAGTCTTACAGGATGTAGCAATATTTTCTTTTTTCAAATAAAGTTTTACTGATAAAAATTCTGAAACTGTTTTTATCAAATTGTCTATTCTATTGCAACTTCAAGAATTTTAACTAGAATGCATATACAATATGATGATATAAGTGAAAATTATGTTATGGGTAGTTGAATTTTTTTCAAATTCCAATGGTCATTATTTTTTAATTCACCCCAATCAGAATTTACCAAATTTGTTTCATATTTGGAAGTTTTACTGACTATATACATTAATAGACACCTAACGACTACAATGTAACTATATGACAAACAGGACACCTTCAGCTTTTCCATTATCAACTTCCGTTATTTATGTAACATTCCACTATCACCTGCATATGGTTTTTATGTAAAACTTATAAGGTACCAATTTTGATGCTCAAGATGCCCACTTTAACAAATTATGTCTCTTAAGTGATGTTCATGCCGAAATGTTGGAAACCGCTAAGCTGCTTTTAAAGATGCTGGCTATTGACAAATAAGTTCGAGTTACAGGACTTTCAGCAGATTGCAAATTCCATGGTCGCTACATGTATATATACTTCCATTGCAAATACAGCTTATCATTCGATCGTTTTTGACTTACTAATTTCATACCAATTATAATTCAATTGTTTTTAAACTCATCTGGACTACAGATGGCTCCATTTACTTGATCAATACAGAGAAGTCACGGCAAGTGGGACAAGTTGACAAAGGATGCTTACTCATAGGCACCTAATTCTACCTCTGGTGTTTTCAGGGGTCTATTTTCTGCTCTGTTAACAATTTGTGTTGTTTTGATGGTCTAAGAGATTGATCACTGTTCGACATCTTTACCTTTTTCATAATAACAATTAACTCTTTGACCCTAAAGCTGATGAATTGAAATTAGCTATACAGATATTTTGCTTTAACCACTCTCCAACTACACTCTTGGTCCTTAAGCTACAAAATAAGTTATTGCATCAGAATGGCAATTCAAGCTTTGGCCTACACATTTAACATTTACAATTACATTCTAATCCTCTGATCATTTACACCAACACTCCAGTGAATTGGTAAAATATGATAAACGTATGATTTTTTAAAAAAAAGTATTTGAAATATACTTGACATTCTTGGAATGTATTTAAATACATTCAATTACTTGTAATTGAGAGCAAACTCAATTACAACAAATGTTAGTGGAGGGATTGCAATTAAGCCCGATTCTGGCAATTATAGCATAAGAATCGAATAAGGTAATTTCTAGTTCTAGCATATTGCAAAAAGAAACCTCACTTTCTGTTGTTTTATCCTAAAGAACCTTCTCCATATATCATAGAGATTAACATTAAAAACATAAGGACCAATATCTTACACTGCAAACAGATAACAAAAGTCATACCTTTGCACTAACCACTGTGCCAAATTAAACAACGAGCGCGACATTTACGATGAAAATGGGGCAACATGAGAGAATATCTAAAATGTTCATAAATGTGTGAAAAATAAATCTCATATGATAACATGAATTTTCATGAACATGTTAAAAATAAATCTCATGATACATGCATATGAAAAACTCAGCATCCACAGCATGTTTCATTTGAGGAATCATACATATATGCATGTTCAACATATATTTAGTATATTTGACAAATTGTGTGAAAAAACTATTAAATTCTTTGTTTTACAAATTTGAACAAACATAAAACACACACGTACATGTATGTTTATATTTGAAACGTGATTCTAAGATAATGACTGTATTTGGAGTAAAACAATAATGAAATACTGTATAAATAATATTCTTTTTTATATTCTTGAGAATTTCTTTCAAATTCTATAGAACTTTAGCTGTTGTAGACATTGCTTTTAGACAAACTACCTGTGCTATACCTAGTAACTAATTTGATATTATGACTACATGATTATTGCAAAACAAGAGGCTCAAGGACCTTGAATCGCTCTTCTGATAAATTGTACAACCAGTATCACTTCTCTTTGAAGCATCTAAGTATCCTGTATATATAAATAAAGCCTTGAAATTCCAAAAGTAGGTCATTATGACCTACATTTTAGATAAAACACTCTGAGAACCCAAGATGATTCTAAGTCAATTAGTACCTGAGAGTAGGTCATGGTGACCTACTTATCACTTGTCATTCTCCGAGGACCCAAGATGCATCAACTAAGTCAAATAGTACCTGAAATATTTAAATAAAGCCATAAAATTTCATAAGTAGGTCATGTTGACCTAGCACTACTTTTCAGTTGACATATTCCAAGGTCCCGAGATGCAACAACTGACAATGTTTGATGATTCTAAGCCAATTAGTACCCGAAATATCAATTATAACTATAAAATTTCAAAAGGAAGGTCACTTTTCAGTTGACATACTTTGAGGACAAAAGATGCATCAACTGACAAAATTTTAAGATTCTAAGCCAATTAGTGCATTTACCTGAAAAATATTTAATCAGGTCACAGTGACCTACTTTTTAGTTGACGTACTTCAAGCACCCAAGATGCATCAACCAACAAAGTTTGATGACTCTAAGCAAATAAGTACCCTAAAATATTTCAATATATCCATAAAATTCCAATAGTACATTGTAGGTCAGAGTGACCTACATGTAAGTCAATATACTCCGAGAACCAAAGATGCATCAACTGTCAAAGTTTGATGATTCTATGCCAATTAGTACCTGATATATTTAAATAAAGCCATAAATTTCAAAAGTAGATCACAGTGACCTACTTTTCGGTCAACTTACTCCGAGGACCAAAGATGCATCAACTGACAGTTTGATGATTCTAAGCCAATTAGTACCCAAAATATTTAATTATAGCCATATAAATTGAAAAGTAGGTCACGGGTGAAATACTTTTCAGTCAACTTATTCCGAGGACCCAAGATGCATCAACTGACAAAGTTTGATGATTCTAAGCCTATTAGTACCTGAATATTAAATTATAGATACATAAATTGAGAAGTAGGTCACAGTGACCTACTTTTCAGTAGACGTACTCCGAAGACCCAAGATGCATCAACTGACAAAGTTTGATGATTCTAAGCCAAATAGAGGTCACTGTGACCTACTTTTTCATAAACTTGTTTTATAGCCCCAAGATGCATCATCTTAAAAGATTTAATGATTCTAAACCTCTCAGTATTCAAATTAATGACCTTAAATGTTTTGAAAAAGATTAGCCATAAAATTCAAAAAGTAGGTCACTGTGACCTACTTTTTAGTTGACGTACTCCGTCAACTGACAAATAAATTTTGATGATCATAGGCTTTAAATTGTTCAAAATTTGCCTCTAAATCATTTTGAAAAAATGACCGCCAAATTCAAAAAGTAGGTCACAATGACCTACTTTTGAGTCAACATGATATGAGGTCCTTAGATGCATCTAAGGACCTCATAGAACCACTGGGCAGATTATCACCAAACTTACACAAAAAGGGTGAGAATATGTTGAAGATTAAAATTTGCATGGGAAGTCGCCCTGGAGCAAAGGGCGTGGTTTCAAGGTCACCTCAAAGTTGACAAGATTTGATGATCCTAATCCTTATAGTAAGCAAAATATCAACATTTTAATAAAATGTAATTTTTGGTCAACTTTGAAGTGACCTTGAAACCACGCCCTTTGCCCCAGGGTGATGCCATGAACAATTTTTAATCTTCAACATATCCTCATCCATTTTGTGTAAGTTCGGTGATAATCTGCCCAGTGGTTCTTCAGAAGATTTTTTTTTTTATTTACCTAATTATCTCCCCTTGTTTAAGGGTCACAACCCTTGTTTTAGTATAAACGGGAGTACTTGGGCCAAGAATACTCTGTGACAAATTTGACAATAAATGGCCAAGGGGTTCTTGAGTTATGTACAAATTTCTAAAAAGTTTACACACACCACACAAATGGCCATAGCATTAGCTCTTTGAGCCTTTGGCTCGGAAGAGCTCATAAAATATCAAACTAATTCTGACACATATATGCAAACCAGTGGGGAACATGCTTCCATGTAAAAATAACGAGAGATGGCACTTTTGGATTTTATTATGACTGTCTTACGATACAAAATAATATTCTTTTATTCACCTTATCATGATGGTAATCCATGTGTATATTAAACATTAAACAATTAAATGAAATTAAATAGAAATTCTGTGAAAATATTTTTATACTGTACATTACAAACCATAAAAAAGTGTCTTGTCACAATGTTCATACATGTAGCACACTTTTGCAGTAATTCTCTCCCACATTTTAATTAAAAACGTAAAATGGAATGTGTTATATCATATAACATAACTATAGCAATTTAATGCTGTCCCTCCTTTTAACTCCAGCAGGAAACCAATACTTGATTTTCTACTGTTTATCCAAACACTGCTTTATCTAGTCCCAAGAACTCACATGCGTTGTTTACCAATAACCTCTCCTGTTGAGACAAAATATGTCCACTTTGTTTTAATTCTACATTAATAAGCAATTTGAGAGCATTGCATAATCAATACTGGTCAGCATGTGTAGTCTAACACCCCTTAAAAACAAAGTCTCTACATTTAATTCCAAATTGATGATTTTACTCATAAGACTGAATAGCTAATTCAAATTACATAGTAACCTTTGGACAAAAAGTGCCTAACACCTTAAGCGACATTTGCAATAAGTATTGCTTCATATAGTCTCCCAATTGCAAAGAAAAGTAAAAAGAGTTATAATTAATCAGAATTAGGAAGGAGAGATAAAGGTAAGACTGCCTTAATTGACATGAAGATTTGATACTTTGCATGTGTAAACTCAGACCTGTTTACCCATATTGTTGTCTCTCAGTATTTTTTATTAGATTTGTCCGTGGGATTTGGCATTTGCCAGTAAAATTTCACTTTCCACCGAATTTACATACATTACTAGAGAACGACTACATTTTCTGATTATTATTTCTGTCATATCTTTTAAACCACTGTGTTTTGGCAACCCGACATCACTGAAGTGTTTGAAATATTCCTCTTTTTTAGCGATAAGCCTCAAACTGAGACAGATCATAACGAAAACTAACTGCTAAAATCCAAATGAACGGATTTTCGATTTCCGTATTTTCATAATGCCAAAATGTGAGACGTATTTTGAACTCAAAATCCGTACAAAAATACGGCGAAATCGTAAGAGTAAACAGGTCTGTAAACTTAATTATACCCCTATAAGAAACCAAAACATAAATTATAATTTTGATACTATAAACTGAATAAAGATATCAAAACATTTTTTACATTACTGTATAAAGTACACTGTATAATGTTTACTTTAAATCCAATACACAAAGCTTTGTAGATAATAATATTACCTTAAGACTCTGGTCAAACTCTGAAGATTCAATTAATTTTCCTGGATGGTGTTCACCAAGGGGAAAAGGATAGTCTGATCCCATTATCACTTTATCCTAAAAAAACAATTATCTTAACCTTATGTTCAATATGGCAAGAAGAAACATAGAAATCTTCCAAGTCTCAAGTTTTATCATTTAAGAGGTACAGTAACTGTTTAATTTAGATGCAAGCATCCAGGTATGGTAATACAATAAAACACACTTATCATGGAGTGCCAGGGATACAATTTTTCTTCATTATAAACAATTTGTTATAACCATTAAGATCGCAATATATTTAAAGCCATGGTGAATGAAAACTTGGCTGTAAGCATCATTTCATTATAAGCTTGTTCGTTGTAAGCGTGTTTTACTATATCTGGATGTTTGCATCCAATAACAACTCATTCTGCACTAGATCTTGAGGAGATTTTTAACAAGTTTCCCTTAATATCTTCCTGTGTGTAAAACTTTCATCCCATTAAGGTGGTCCTATTTGACCTTTGCAGAAACAATTTCATACACAAATCTTGGTCTCACTTCAGGTAAATGCTACTAATGTTACAGTATTGATTCCATATTTCCTATATAAAGCTGTCAAGTACAATCATAAAAATTTTTAGGAAAATTGGACATTACACATTTATTGACTAGGTTCGATGGCAACATGCATTTTGTTGTACCCAAGAACCAAACTGTTTGTCTGAGGCCGTTAGGCAGAAAGCAAACAGTCCGGTTCGAGGGTCGACAAAATGCATTTTGCCTGAGAACACACAGTCTTAATGTTTTGTTATACCTTTTATTTTATTTATATACATGTATCTTGTACTGGTTTCCAGAATGTAAATTTCCTTTACCCGCAATGTGGTTAAACTCCGTCCCACCCACAGTGTGACGTAGCTGTCCAATATCTCATTGACAGGTCCAATATTACACTCAGCAGTCAAACATCGATATTCAATGGACCGCTCAGTACAACATTGGAAATGTCAAACATTTTTTTAGCACAAATCTATATAGGAAACAATTTTCAAAGGTATACCAATAAGATATATTGGTTATAGTGAAGATTAAATTTTATTCAAGATAACATAACTGAGTTGAAAAATTAAAACTAGAATGTTTAACCAAATATTGCAATTCTAAAAAGTACCAGAAGAAACCATGCAAGATTCCTAAAATTTCATCCTTCAGTTAATAGTAAACAACCCTATGCTAAAACATATTGTAATTTTAAGCTCAATGTCCTAACACTTAAAAAAATATACCTCGCCTATAACATCAATAAGTAGCTTCAATGCTTTAGCATCATGAACAAGGGCATCTGTGTAAAATTGACCCAGGAATTTACGAGGGTTCGTTTTGCAGTCTGTGGCACAGAGATCTGGGCGAACGTTGTAACCGTGTTCTATACGGCCCACAGTAAATGGAAAAGCCCCTCCTATCAATAGAAAACAGATCTTTCAAATTAAGGACTACGAATTCAAGGTATTTGCGTTTACAATAGTGGCATGTGTATAAAATATTTGTAAAAGCAAGCATTCGCAGCTATGTTAAGGCTTCCCGAAGCTTGAAAATGCGCTCTAAACATAATATGTCATTGCGAGGTGGTTTTAGTTTTAATTTATAAGTATTGAACTTAAGTACTCCCAATTTATATAGAGGGTTTCCTCGGCTATATATTAACATATTTGTTATGATATCACATGACTTTGTTGATCACGTGACGGTCATTTATTATTCTTTTGAAGTGTTCCATATAAATCGCTTCGGCGCAGCTGATTAACACAATAATTATTAACATTTTGTTATATAAATAAACTCATCGTATCCTTGTGTTTCCGAAATGTGCTTGGGAAAAGTCTTAGTATTACTTAGATACAAAATATTTCTTGAGAAATTCAACTTACCTACAAATTTGAGGGTATTTTCCACACAATATCGTAATCTGTATTAAAACAAAGCCAACACACATTTTTCCCAAGCAATATTCAGTTAGAGAACAACCTTTTCTTACAGATTTCCACAAAAATTCTCAGATTAATCCTCATTAATCACCTGCGCCAGACTCTTTTATACACATAAAATAAATTCTACCTCCAATCACAGGTATAAAACAGAATACATTTCAAAAGAATATTTTTCATAAGCATTTTGAACATGCTGAATTTCAATCAATGGTAGGTAAGCGGTGTATTTTTTTAAATATTCGGACATATAAGACTTAAAAAACCTTTAACGACCCCTGAATTTTGCAATAGCTATCTAGCATTTTACATGCAGTTTGAAATAAAGTGTAAAGTTCATGACACTCTCCCCGTCATAACACCTCAAGTTTGCAGTGACTTGACGTCATTTTCCATTATGACGTCATATTTTGGTAGTTCAGAGATGTGAAGGCACATAGTGCACTGTGATATTCTACAGGAAGCCTTAACCTACCTGCGTTCTTTAACAGAGTTTTGACAATTTTTATCATTTAAATCAAAGGTTAAAGATTTAACTTTAATGTACACTGCACATTTAACCTAAGATAAATAGCTGACAAAATTTGATTATTCTACAATTTATATTGCAGTTGTACTTCCTTATCTTGAACTTCGATATTTCAAACTTACACAATTCACATTTCTCACTTTTACCATGGATATATCAAAGTGAGTTTAAAACCCCAAACACTTTTCCTTCATATCTATATTTTTTTTTAATCTTGATTATCTTGAATTTTTTTCCTTGTCTCATTGGGATTGAGATAATGAGGTATGACTGTATTTCAGCTATGATTAAAAAATTTTCATCAAATTGACAAAGGCTATAAAGGTGGTAAATAAGGAGTGTACATATTTTAAGAAAAATCTATGGAGTAGCCTACATTAAAATATGTCTGGATAAAACCATATCTGCAGACAGACAGACATACTGATCCTGATATACCCTGATATTCTGACAAATGGTTTGCAGGGGGTATAATTATGTGATTTTCAATAAGTTATAGAAACTGGGATTTCATATCAAGGATTTGCAATTTTAACAAGAGGTCCATGGGCCACACCACTAACCTGAGCAATGTGGCTAGGAAAAAAGCAGAAATCAGTTAAGTATTGATAAGCTTGAATGAATAAGTGGTCCCAAACTGCCCCTAAACGGAGTGGGGAGGCAATGTGTATGATTTGATCAAACTGGAATCTACACTAACTAAGGATAACAGGGAATTATTTAATCTTAGACTAATTATAATTCCTGGATTTTCAGAAAATTCTGAAATCAGGTGTAGTGCCTGAAAACTAACTTAGTTTTGCTTGAAATTATCAGTTTTCACTGTAGTAGAAACTGTCTAAAGGAATAAGTGTGTATATAAGAAGCTAATATAATTGAATTATTGTTTATTTTTATTCATTCATGTTTTTATTGTGTTCCAATTTCATATTTTTATTGTTTATTTTCAGTCATAATTATTATTTCTAGGGTAAATGTCTTTTATGCAGTGTATCTGGTGTTCTACTGTTGTAGCTGTAGAAAATAATGACGCATGCGCAGATGGGGGTTAGTCGATGCCTGGCATCAAAAAACGACTAACCCCCATCTGCGCATGCGTCATTTTCTCGCTTAATTCTGCAGTTTTCTGCAATCAAACGGCGATATTAAAATAATCCATCGAATGTCCGTCATTAAATTATGCTACGACTCCACTGTTATCGCAAAACGTTCCTTCCGAGTTGTAGATATCCTTTAAACATTGCCAACAACGCACGGCTTCATAGTCCCCATGAATGAAGACCCGACTGAAGAAATGACTCGCAGCAAACGAAAATACATACCGATGCGTATTCAGCACGACAACTGCAAACACTTACATATGTTTTCACAATCGTAACAACTTTTAAATCCAACGAAATGGTCAGAAAAACGCAGCGATGTAAACACTACCAAATTTACAGCAGCTTCCTTATGCAGACAACCACTCCTCGACGTCACAGTCGTAAAATACGACGTCACAGGTACACTGTTTTCCCGAACTTTTCTAATGCAAAATGGCGATTAAGCATTGTACGTAATATAAGGTATACTGTCTTTGTTGTTCAGCACACGTAATTTTAATTGTTTGTAAAAAGTTCTCCTTTAACCAGGTAATTAAATATCACAAGAGGAAAGGAAACTGGAATGTCTTTAGTACAGAAATCGGTCTTTGAAAATTGAAGATCCATGATCCGCCCACTTGTTTCACCTCCAGCTAAGAGGTGCATATTTAGTGAGCAAATCGAGAGTTTTCAAGCCATTGTGACGTCACCCTCAATAATTTGTAACAGATCAGTGAAATCTTACAAATGAATCAATAAAAAAAAGTAATAAAGAGTTAAACTGTGGAAATCATTAGTTTTCAAGTCTTGTGTACTATAAACAAATTATTACTGATTAATCAGGTGTAAGGCACAACGATTCTCCACAAGGCAGCATTGATATAGTAGTACTTGATGTACATGTAATACAATATGATAGTTAGTACTTGATGTACATGTAAATATACTGTAGATAATCCGTTTATTTGAGATACCCCACCTGCCCCCGAAATGAATTTGTATTGAACCCTTTTATCGATTGATTTGTGTATGATCAAGAACTAACGAGAATGGGGTTGACGAACGGGGGGGGGGGGTGATTGGAACAGGGGGGTCGACTTCTTATCGTTTATACAGATGCCTTAGCAAATAGCAAATGGATTTCAGTTAAAATATCTATAAATCCCCAGAGATTTTATATGATATTGGATAACGATCCCCCCCCCTTTTTTTTTATATTAAATATTTAAAAAAAACAATTCTAGATACCTACCCCCAGCAGGAAAAATGCTCCCCTATACTCGGTGAAATTCGTAAGTTTCTCTATTAAAATATCGAAAGCCACACATGCTTTTATTCACACTTTATTTATAGAGTCTTATACAAACAAAATTAAGATGTATTATAAGAATTTTTAGTGTGTTTCTGTGTGTATTTGTGTGAAGGGGGGGGGGGTGTAGGGGTGTTTGCGGACATCCTCCCCAACATCCCCTTTAAATCGAGCACAGGTGTAAGAGACATTTCTATAAATATTTACCGTTGGTTCAGCCGAGATATACGGATATAAAACCGCTTTTTATAATTTTTAACTAGTCTTTATAGATTATAAGTTCGACTAAAATCTTAGCTATATTGTCACTTGCCGAAAAATCGAACTATATGGAATGAGTAAGATATATGTTACTGTCGACGTATTTTAAATACTTGTATGATATCCCCCGAATATACTATTAGTTGCTCCATTCTTTCCCTATAATTTCTAGTAGATCTGTCATTAACGGGGGGAAAATTCTTCAAATATACAGATTTGGTGTAATACATGTAGCACATTTCCACCAAAACTCTTTTGCTACAATTGTCTATTTCATTATGAATAGCAATATAGAGATATAACATGCTCATCAGTTTTACTAGAGCTATTATCCCTGCCAGGCCATCTGTGAAGGAAATGTCACTCAGAATTGCCGAGGAAAAGAAGGGCGGGGGGAGGGGGGTTACCAAACACTGCTCAAGGAAGTGCTGCGCTTTTATTTCCGTTAAATGACTCATGACTTAGATGACTTCCATTGCTCAATTTCTATCGTCTAAGAGAGCAGTTCTTCTACATTAAAAAATAACATTAAAAACATTTTGAAGTTTAAATCTTTGTTTACGACTTTTGTTTCAGAAAAGCTTATATATATATTTTATCAAGTGAAAACTCGATCACTAAAAGATACTTTCATAAATCTATTAGTATGTCAAATGGTCTCTCTTGGTGCTGGCCGCGAGTGTTTTATTTTGTTCTTCGCAAGTTAGATTCCTTCAAGAATCGTTTTAATATTTATCAAAAACACCATGAGAATATTTTGTCGACCTATACTGAATAACCCATTCAACAAAAATAAAAAAAAGGGGGGGAAGGGGGGGGGGTTACAGTACTTGTATTTCCAAAAGTTGCATGTTAAGTTATTATTATTCTAATAACTGTCATCCTCATCGGAAAGTCTAAAACGAATTAAATAAAAGTAATTACATAACATGTAAAGACAAAAAATTAAGAGATTACACACACATTTCGTCCTCCTTTGAGTCTTTGACTCGCGCATCAAGCCTTGGCTTTCGGTTAAATGCAATATAGCGATACTGTGTTTTGTATATTTTTATATGATACCATTTTAATTTACTGAGTATGTAAAATTAGAGGTGAAAATCATGTTACAGAAATCTATGGTAACGTATTATGTATGCATCTCAATACATGTACCTGCAATTCCATCTGTATTTTTAAAAGAAATGAAGTGTCTGATGAGACTGCAGCTTTACTGTTTTGTACTTAAGGGCATTAGCAAGGTTCCTGGGGTGTGTTCCCCGAACGTCTACTGGACAAAACAAACATCTAATT